TAGTGTCAGTGCGTGCACATTTGAGCAATTCAAAAATTATAAATCTCTCGAGGCCCATCTGCAATTTACAAATGGATGGGTGCAGGACCTTCAGATTTTCCGCGTCAACGAGCAGAAAACTGTTGTTCGCACAAAGGTATGTAATAAAACGCACATTTCTGTCACTCGTCACTCTTAACATCAGCAGCACATTTTAGTCATGAGAGTTTGCTTTTCTGTCTGTCTATCTAGTGTGAGGCCTGTTCATAAAACATGATTAGAGATATTTGTCTTATTATTCATTTTGTACTTACCTTAGTATTTTTTATATATCATAGGTTTTGCACTCTCAACGCCTTAATGGATCTCTGCTCAAGCCGTGGGTGATCCTCAGCTCCAGTGGCCAAGTGGAGTGTGCACACTGCACATGCATGGCTGGCATAGCAGAGTCTTGCACACTTGTTGGGGCTCTCCTTTTTAAAATCAAACCAGCAGTCTGGATACGGGGGACCAAGACTGTCACTGATGTTCCAGCCTACTGGATGATGCCCGCTAATGTTGATAAGGTCCAAGCAGAGGTGAGCCACAAGATCGACTTCACCTCTGGTGCAGCTAAGAGAGTGGCACTTGACAAGTGCATCAGTGGGGAGAGAGGAATGTCAGGGATACGTACTCGTTTAGGCTCCACGAGTCATTGTGCACATGAGCCCACACTTTCAGACTTGTCACCCCTGCTTCAGATTTTGCACACTCACAGCAAGGCCGTTTTTCTTTCTGGGATGGAGGAGTATTACCATCATTATATCGACCCAGTTAAGCCACATGTAGTGCCAAAGTCCCTACAGCATCTTCGTGACCCAGGAAAGGATGGATGCGATCTACCTGTCCTGTTCCAGCATTGCAACACCCTCACACACCTGGTAGCAGTAACAGAGACACAGGCAGCTGCAATTGAAGCTCAGACGAGACTGCAACATCGATCATCTGTCTGGTACACATCAAGAGCAGGAAGAATAACAGCTTCCAATATGCATGCCGTTGTGTCCGAGAAACGGTGTTGAGAAACCATCCGCATCAACTGTGTCAATAGTGTGTTATCCCAAAAAAACAGCAAACTCAGCTGCCATCAGATGGGGGGATAGACAATGAAGTTTAACACTGTTACATGTTACATAAATACATGTTGTATTTGCACTACACTTGCACTGAACTTCTAAATTGAATAGTTTTTCTATTTAACTTATTTTTTTACTTATTACTATCAATGTTCTTGATACTTGAAGGTTACACTGTTACATGTTACACCTGTTGTATTTGCACTACACTTGCACTGAACTTCTAAATGTAATTGTTTTTCTATTTTACTTTTTAACATATTGCATTATCTATGTTCTTGATACTTGAATGTTACACTGCTGTTACATGTTACTCCTGTTGTATTTGCACTACAAGTGCACTGAACGTATAAATTAAATTGTTTTTCTATTTAACTTTTTTACTTATTGCCTAACCTGTGGTCTTGATACTTGTTTACCTAATTACCTTTTATGTGTTGCACTGCCCCTTTACCTGTAAACTGTACACATTTACCTCAGTGTGTTATGATGCACAAATTAAGAGATACAGAATTAATACATTTTGCCGTTTATTATTGTAACAGGTGGTATGCAATATGCATAACACTGACAAAGTGACAGAACCCTGCACTGTTAGCTAATAAAGTTTGCGGTGTAACTATAACTCCATTGCTAGTGGTAAAAACAACAACAGTTAAACGTGTTTCGTTTATAAACTTACCTCTGTGAAAATGGCGTGAACAAACAAGCGTGTTTCGGGAAATGTTGTTGAAGGTGATGCTGCTACCCAAGCCATGCGACGCCGATGTTAACTCGGAGACCTGAGATCCAAGGTGCTGTTTCCAGGCGGGAAAGCTGAAAAATCGCACTCCATTTGAAATTATTTTTCCAACGGCGGTAAAGTTAGTTTGACGTTTGACATTCATTAGACATTAGTTTTTTTTTTTGCCAATTAAACTCTTTGCAGCTGTTATGTTTTGAGCCCAAACTAACTCGGATAGACATAAATATATGCCCGTAACGTTGCACAAGGCTTAATTTCTAGGGGAAAAAATGTAAAAAAAAATTACCAATTAAACAATTTAACTATGTGACATTATAATATAAAACCAATACTAAAATGTTCGAAAAACATCCCTGTTATTGCACAAAGCTCCGTTTTTGGAATTACCATTTTATGTGTTTTATAATAATTTGACAACTTTTAATGTATGCAATAATATAATTCCATTAAACGACAACACCATTTGATCTAAAGGTATCAAACCAACTGTAAAATATTCAGAAAATTATTCCCTATAATGCACAAGGCTTGGTTTTGCAGATTATGCCTGTATTGTTTTTATATGCAGTACTGAATCCATATTTTTCATATGTTTTATATACTTTACCTACTTTAATTAAACTCTGATACCGTTTGAGATAAAGGTATCAAACCAACTGTAAAATATTCAGAATAGTATTCCCTATAATACACAAGGCTTGGGTTTTCAGATTATGCCAATATTGTTTTTATATACAGTACTGAATCCATATTTTTCAAATGTTTAATATACTGTACCTTCTTAAATTCATTAAACTGACACTATTTCAGATAAAGCTATCCAACCAACTGTAAAAATCTCTAAATATTATTCCTTATAATGCACATGGTTCGGTTTTCAGATTATTAATCAGTTTTTTTTTACAGTACTGAACCCATTTATATCCATGATACTTGAACACCATTTAAGATAAAGATATCACACCAACTGTATATTTTCCAGCTCATTAATCTGATGTTTTTTATATAGAATACTGAACTTTTAATTTTTTTTAGACATTGAACCTATTTCAATACATTAAACTGGAACACCATACATACATGCACACGCACACGCACACACACACACACACACACACACACACGTCCCAGGCCACGCGACGACGAGCTCTTCACCGAACCCACAGACGAGTCCACACTCTTCCCGCTGTAGCAGTGAGTCCGCAGACACTTCCCGTACTCTTTACGCACCTACACAGACAGACAGAGACACAGACACAGACACAGACACAGTGTAGCCTCTATTAGGGATTTACATTAAAACAACAACAGCAACAACATATTCTGTGAATTAGGTACGTTTTTATTGACATGAAATTGTAGCAAAAATGTCACTGCTCTTAACAACAGTTGACATTGAACATGAATAAATACATAAAGAAGTACAACACAAAATAAAAACAAAAAATAGATTTGATGAAGACTAAATTCCAGTGAAATATCTTCACAATACTCTATGCTGTCTTTAAGTCCATCATTTTGGTGTGACTGAGCGGCAGTTTCTCTTTGCAGAGGATGAGGTTGTGGAACGTGATGCATCTGAAATAAACAATTGAGTTTAGAGTTGTCCATTTGTTTATGTAAAAGCAAAAATGGACAGAATGTGACAAAAGAACAACAATATATTGTTGTGACAAGTCCTGGTAAGTTTAACGCAGTACACAAGGTTTTTAATTTATTTATTTATTTTTATAATAAATAAACAGAATAAAAAGTAGATAGAAAAGAAATAGAACAGATAGATCTAGTGTTAGAGGGTCAATTGTTATTATTTTTTATAATAATTAAAAAGAAAACAAGTAGATAGAATAGAAAGAGAATAGAGTTCTAGTGTTTTCTAACAATATGTATTATAAATTCAATGTCTCTGTTACTTACAGAGAGAAATATCCGCATCCTAACAGAGCTGCTCACACTTACATATGATCAAAAAGAGAAATGAACATGTTTATTTGGAAACCAGTTACAATTTTAAAGTTCAGTGTATTTAAATTAAAGTATGAAATCATTTACCTGTTGAGAGTGTGTTGACAGTCTGTGTAGTTGGATCACTGAACTCCAGAAAATCAGTAACGAGGAGCTTTGACAGTTACAGATAAAAAAAAAAAAAAGGGCGGGGATAAAGAACCCTAAACTCTAACACAAAGAACCATTTCAGCATAAAAGGGTTCTTCAGGATGCTGTGGTTCTAAATAGAGCCATTACTACATATAAAGAACCATTTAAGAACCATCTTTTTTTAGAGTGTATATATGTATGTGTGTGTTTGTGTGTATGTATATACATATATATATATATATATATATACATGCATACATATATTCATGTATATGGTGTTCCAGTTTAATGTATTGAAATGGGTTCCAGGACTGCCTAAAAAAATAAAAAGTTCAGTACTCGGTGAACAAGTAGTGTTCAAGTTTCATGGATATAAATGGGTCCAGTACTGTCCAAAAAAAACAAAAAACAGATTCATAATCTGAAAACCAAACCTTGTGCATTATAGGGAATAATATTTAGAGATTTTTACAGTTGGTTTGATAGCTTTATCTGAAATAGTGTCAGTTTAATGAATTTAAGTGAGTACAGTATATTAAACATTTGAAAAATATGGTTTCAGTGCTATATATAAAAACAGTAAAGGCATAATCAGAAAAAAAAAAAAGCCTTGTGCATTATAGGGAATAATATTCTGAATATTTTACAGTTGTTTTGATACCTTTACCTCAAACGGTGTCAGAGTTTAATTAAAGTGGGTACAGTATATAAAACATATTTAAAAAAAATTGGTTTCAGTACTGTATATAAAAACAATGAAGGCGTAATCTGAAAAAAAAAAAAAAAAGCCTTGTGCATTATAGGGAATAATATTCTGAATATTTTACAGTTGTTTTGATAGCCACATGATGGCGCTAAGAATTCACTGTTATTCACGACGCTGCATATTCAAGCTCTGAATACTACACACAAATTAGTTTATGAAGAATGACTAGGATAAAGTACAACTAATTTAGTTTATTAAGATTTTCTTTTATAAAGTATTTCCTCTCTCGCCGAGTTCACTGAGTTTCTGAATCTGAGCTGAGGCAGACACTCACACTAGCTCAATCCTCGAGCACATGACGTCACGTGAACTTGGGAGCTCTGCCTCCCTGCCAAACCTTATTGCACTACTAGTCTCGATCTGACCACACGACTGCAAGACCGCAAAACGCACCCTGCAACGAGAATCAAACAAGGCACAATTTCTGGAGTTTACAGCACTTTCATTTCTATTTTTTCAAGGGAAAAAACGGCCACCCTGAAGTCAAGAAAACACGAGTAGAGAGCAGGATTATAGTTAACCTTCACACAGAGGTATGCTGCATTTTTTTAAATAACGTTAAATCTTTTAAAGCTTAGTTGCGAGCAATGTTTGTTGTTATACTAGAGAGTTAAGGTAATAGCGCGCGTGATGAATATTGTGTACACGATGACAGGAGTTTGTTTTTACTATTCCCCCCCGTACAAATACTTAGAAACTTATAAATCCACCAACAATATCCTCAGCAATGTTCATTATTCAATGAAGTTAAAACCTAACTTGTAAAACTGCGTATCCTCGCGAATATTTAAAGGGATATTTCAACGAAAAGTGAAAATACTGTAAAAAAAGAAAAAACAAACAACAACATATTTTTCCAAACATGACTTTCTGCAATGGAACACAAAAATAACATGTTATGCTAAATGTTAGTGACATCTTACCATCACTTGCGTCTTTTCTCAATACGAAGTGAATGGTGACTGGGTCTGTAAAATGTCATGTTCTTCATTTTAAGTAAGAAAGTCATACAGGTTTGGAAATACAGGAGAGTGAGTATATGCTTTTTTTTTTTGTTTTAGAGTGAACTATCCTTTTAAGTCTTTTAAAAAAAGTTGATGTTATTAAGTGATCAGTATAAAGTTTCAGGGCACAGTTAAATTTCCACTCATGTAACTTTTCCCTCTCTCTTTTGGTTCAGACAAGGGTCAGAATGATTACTGAGTGATATGAATGTACTCATTATGGATCTTGGCAATGAGGTGGATCTCTCCAATAACAATATCACTCCTCTCTGGAAAAGACGGAATGAAAATGACATGAAGCCCAAGCCCAGACCTCTCAGTTACCAGTTAGATGGAGTTCTCATGACAGACTTTCCTGTGGATGATAGGTGCACTTTCACTCTCACTCAGCCGTCTGAGAAGGTTACCACCACTGCATCAAACACAACAGTGCTGAAACACACCCTCAACAAACCCACAAGGAAGGCTAGGGTTGTTCGGAGCATCAGTATTGGGTATTTATCAAACGGACGGTTTTCGCTGTCAAAGTTCACTAAATCGGATGATGAAAAGAATGAGGAGGCTACTTCTTCCCCTAAAACACCAACGTTGCCCTCCAAGAACGGGAATGGCCTCAGTGTTTGGCATGACATAACAGAGCCTCTCAAACGTCTCTCCAGTCAGTTCACTCTTACCTCTCAAAGGGATCAGATTGTTTTCGGGAATGCGTCTCCACCGCCAGACACTGCTTCACCAAAACATAATGTGTCACCTCAGAACTTCACACGTTCACCTCCACTCCAGTCGCAGGATGCCCATGGGTCTACCGTCGGCCTCAGCAGCTCCCCTTCTCACAGTTCCACCTCCAGCATCCCCTCCATCTCCTCCAACCTTAGCCTTCCTTCAGACCCCCCCACACCCCGCACCCCATCCCCTGCCGAGAGGCCAGGGGGCATCCTGTTGCAAAGGCAGAGTTCAGAGTCACCTCAGGGCTCAGAGGGCAAGCGGCCCTCTTCCCCAATCATACTGAGCACCCATAGTCCTGCAGCGCAGAAAATCGGCACCCAGCAGATCATCCCCAGGGGTCTGGTCTCTGACACACGCTTCAGCAAGCCCTCTCAAAAGTTTTTGGACACTGGTAAAAGTGCCTTCCGTCCACGAAGCATGTTTGAGACTGGGTCTTTTTTCTCCACCAGTAAGGAGGATGAGCTGAATGGAGATGAGAATGCAGGACTGCTGACAAGAGGCCAGCGCTCCAAATCATATCGCCGAGCAATGGTCAGTGGTGTTGACTTAGATGTGCCATCTTTAGACCCAAAGGACAAACGACTGCCCCAGCCTGTGCTAAAAGGAGTCGCTGAGGAGGGGCCGTCTTGCGTGAGTCCATCCAAGAGCAAAGTGAGTTGAACTCTAAATGTTGAGTAAAAAGTTATTTTACTTCTTCCTGCTAATGGCTATGGTGTTGTAGTGGTTAAACACAAGATAAAGGGTAATAGGGTTGTGCGATATTGACAAAAAAAAAAAAAGAAAAAAGATATTTCAATATTTACTGAGATTTCGTCAATAACGAGAATTATACAATATTTTGCCGGTGTTGGTGTTTGTGCTGGTTCCTTGTCTGGTTTCAGCCTGGGAAGCATACCTATGTTCCCGGAGTCTGTTAACACGGATTAAGTAAACTTTTTTCAAAGATCAGGACTAGGGATGTCAATTTTCGATCATTTCCATGATCGATCATCGTTTAAATTAACGATCAATTAATCGATTAATCGTTAACCTTAATGCTGCAAAATGGGTCTATGCAGCCCGGCATGACAGGATGTGCAAAAGTTACTCAAAAAAAAAAAAAAAAAGTTTCTTCCCCC